AGGGGAAGAAACTGAAGATTTTAATTAAAGAATACAATGCCCTTATGCAGGATACCAGAAAACCCAGCACAAAGATATAAATGGTTTTGGTCCAAGTACAGCACACATATAACCCCTCGTGACACATACCTCATTACAGCTGACAGAACTACAGCATGCCTGAATATGGTCGCAGACAAGAAACAGAAAGGACTTCCATAATTTTTAATACAGAAAGCCTACAGAGACCACAGTTCTGTGTCTCAATATCACTTGGTAAGTTGCCACAGAGAGATGTTCATATTAGAGACATAAACCAGCTGCAAGTGTCTCTAGAGTACTGCTGGCCATATTTATCTTGTGGGTTGCACCCAGCCAACTGTGATTTAAAAATCAAAGCAGGTAAATTTTTCCCCCTACTCTAACACCAAGTGACAGATTTACTGAACCAAGCCCTTACTAGCACCCCAATGGATGTGAAAAGAGGGTACTCTTTAAAAAAAACAAAACAAAATACAGACAAATCATAAAACACAGCCCCCCAATTTCCTCAGTACGTTGGAGAATACATGCTTGCAACGTGAGCTCCATAATGCTGTATTCTATACAGCTGCAGTTTAAAAACAGCAGAACAGGTGACACTCCTTAGCTGGCCTCCAGGACTCAGTTCAGCAGACTTGCAGCTACACAGTCGCACAGATTTCTCTTTTCCACCTGAAGAAGCAGAGTTTCTGTCTATAAGAGGGAGGAACAAAAGTAACATCAAAAAACACAAAGTGTCAGCACTGTAAAACTAATTTGCTCTCAAAGAAAAGTTAATTTTTGTTCTAAGATTTGGAGTTGGTTGCATGAGATGAGGCTTGAGATTAAAAAAAAAAAAAAAGAGTTATTGCTTACTGCTCTGCAAAATAATTCAGCTTTTGCATGATTAATTGGCATACCAACATGGCAATACTTCCTGTGACATGGAGAAATTCAGTCTGGTACATGCTCATGTTTTTTACGTTAGTACATTCAGGATGCATCTGGACGCTGTTATTTTTGTTTAATGTTATTTGTCTTTCTTAAAGTCTTACTTTATCTACACAAACTGAAGCATAAGCATTCAAGTTCATGAGAGGCTTAAAAAAAACCCAAACAAGACCTGTCAGAAATTTTCTTTTTACTTAAAAGCAGACTGAAAAATAATCAAATTTAGAGTATTACAGCCTGGAAAATGTTGAAAGTTATACAGAGAAAGGAAGGCTTGACTTAAGCATAGAATATCTCAAGTTGGAAGGGACCCATAAGGATCAGCAAGTCCATCTCCCTGCTCCTCAGAGGACTACCTAAACCTAAGTCATGTACCTAAGAGTGTCATCCAGGCAGTTCTGGAATTCTGACAGGCTTGATGCCATGACCACTTCCCGGAAGAGCCTGTTCCAGTGACTGGCCACCCTCTCAGAGAAGAAATTTACTTCTGTTTGGACTTCTCTAAGCATTTAAACTTAATGTTTATGACAAGAATAACTTGTCAATATGCTGTTGGAGACTAAAATGGATGATGGGTGCTAAGGTGGCATACAGCCATCACAGTTGGAACATGAGACGAGACTGCTGGCTTCTTTAAGGAAAGGAGCCCCAAACTGGTGAAAGCAGATGTCCCTCAGTTGAGCTGGGGTTCATCAATACCAGGAATTCATTGCTGCCAACAGGGACTTTCTGAAGTAATAAGGGCAGATTGGGAACTTTCCAGAGCTGGAGGTCAATATGATCAGAAAGGTCTGCACCTTCTCAGCCTGCCTGGGCAAGAAAGGGCTGAGGACCAGGGAAGGGACACCAGGGCTGCAAAAGGGGAATTTGGGAATTCTTCCGCTCTAGCACACATACACTTTGGTTCTTCTGGCTGTTTGGAGCACTTGTAGCTTCTGTAGATGCATGGAGCACAAAGCTGTTTGACATCAATACCATATCTTCATCTCAGTTTGTCTATCATGAGATGAAGCTGTATCTGAGAATCATTCTGATCCAAAAAAAAAGGACTTCCTCCTTATTGTCACGAGACATTAGCTGTGAGAAGTCCACTCAAATTATTCCCCACTAGTATAATCAGCTCCACAAAAAAAAAAAAAAGGCATTATGAAGACCATCAGTTCTAAATGCCAATAAATCCTTAATCTGCCTGCCTTGTGGTTGTTGTATGAGATAGAATTGCCTTTGTTTTAAAACTGTATTGCCCATTGACCCACATCAGCCAGAGGCACTCAGAGCAGAGCTGGGCTGAAGCATCCTGCTTACCACCTGCCTTCTCCAGTAGAGGAGAAGCTATCTACTGGTCAGGTTTGGTTTATTCTCCCAGATGATAAATCACTAGACACAGCCATGAGGTCCTGTATTAAATCAGGCATCACTTCTGATCGTTTCAGCTACCCTGCAAAACTGGAAAGATCTAATCAGATTTTGCTAATGACCTAGAAGACACTCAGTCACCACCTTCTAAACATCTCCCTGACATCATTTGCAATGGTTTGAATAAGGGAGGCTGACAGCAGCCAACAACTTTGGAGCCAAGACCTAAGGCTGTTTACCATCTTAGATATCTTTAATAACATTTTACAGCCTTTGTTTTTACTTTCATGGGTGCATCTATCTTAATGTGCTTTGAACATTCCAAATAACTACTGACAGTTTAGAAAGGAATAAAGAAAAAAACTGGCCAGACTGGATGGGGATCTAAGCAATCTGATCTAGGGGAAAGTGTCCCAGCCCATGGCAGGGTGGCTGGAGCCAGATGATCTTTAAAGGTCCCTTCCAACCCCAACCATCCTGTGATTCTAGGAATGGCATTAAATACAGCTTTGCTGACTGTTTTGTGAGCAGGATCACAAGAACATTGGCACAGAGATTTATTATCCCACAGTGGGTTAGAGCATATTTCAAAATAAAACAACTAAAAAAACCCAAAACCCAAACAGAGCAGGGTCCAGATTCTGAACCTATAAAAAACCCTGTAAGTTCCAGCTAAAAACAGTTTCTGAGCTCTTTGAAGTTGTACTACAATATCCACTAGTTAACTCTGAAAAATGGGTTGGAATCTTGAAAATAAGTGTCCATAGTGCAGACTTACAGTGAACGATGTGGCCCAAGGACTGGATTTGTTTTACAGGATTTTTTTTTTATGGCCTGCTCCCTGCTGGCCTCTACCTCGAGCAGCTTTTAGATGCAGTGGGAAGCTGGCTGTGAACTGGCTGAATGGTTATGATGGTAGTAGCTCCCTCTCAGCAGTACAAGAACCCTTTCCCTAGTTTATGATCAGAGCTGCACCTGCCACATACTGCCCTTTGGCCAAACTGTGAATCAGATATTCCCAGAAAAGATTGCCCAGAGTTTGCTACTGCTGTTAGAACAACGAATCCAGCCTAGAGCCTGCTCCAAGGAGCCACCAGTGAGGAAAGGGTGGAAAACAGTATGCAGGGGAGCAAACAGATCTCGTACATACATGGATAGCAGCCAGCCTCTCACCTCTGAGAAGGGTTTGTGACCCTTCTCGTACCACATGAGTAAAACGCAGCCAGTCTGTCAATCAGTAAGTGATCACCACATCAGTGTAGGTTGTGAACATCTCTAGACTTGTAAAACAAAGGAGATATAGGCTATGGCCCCCATTAAAGTTGTGCGACCTATGCTAGAGTTAGCTTGCTTTATCAGACACCACCCAGATCAACACAGGGCCAAATTTTGTGTGAAAACTCTTGGCCCGTGAAATAAAACTAGATGGTTTTCCCTGTACAGAACTGCAGGGTGAGATCTGTAGAAGGAATTAAATGGGAGCTTCCTCTCTATGCTCTTGGGAATCTCTTCGCCTCCAACAGTCAGGAGCTGCTTAGTCATGATCTAAAACTCTTGCCTGCAAACAAAAGTTTTTCAAGGAAATCAATGTCTCCAGTGGGAATATTAACAAAGGGAATTGTATTTTTGAGGACAGAAACATTTGCCCCACTAAGCAGCAAAACAGATTAAAATAGTCAAATATAAAATACATATGTGGCTGAAAGCAACTGTCTTAAAAGTCCAAGTTTACATCAAATTGAGCCATGCTGAATAATAAAACCAAGAACTGAAATACTGTAAAATTGTCTTTTGAAGACACACGCAGAATTCCTAGCTGTATTAAAATACATTTGCTATTTTTGGGGTTCTTACTGGTGCTCCTGCTTTGGATATGTGTATTTTATAAATCTTTTCTCTTGGTCTGCATGCTGTAGGTGTCTTAAAAGGCCACTGCCACAGACAATAATAGAAGATTTTTGTAGTTATTGATAGTGATATTTTATAATCAAGATTTAGAAATTATGGTGAAAAGTTCAAAGGTTTATAAAAGAAGGAATAGGTGCCCTAGAACCACTTTACAGCACAATCTGAACATCTTGTTTGAGCTGTATACAGTGCTCAGCAGATATATTAATTAATGAGATATCTTCATGAAGAAGCCCAAAATACACTTGACCTGTAATTATTGAACAGATTTTGTTTAACTGTAAATGTGCTACATACCAATCTGTTTCTGCTGGAATGTTTGTTTGGGATTTTTTTGTTAGTGTCACAATTCAAGGCATCTTCATTCCTGCAACTGCATTTTCACCTAAACATCATGGACCCTGCTCAGTTACCTCAAGCCATTCTTCAAAGATGCCAGTTTGCGGCTTTGAATCATGAACAACCTTGACCATAGATTAGAAAAATAAAAAGGTATGAGTGCCTTCTGTTGAGAAATCTGTGCAAGAGTGCAGATCTAGCACTTCAGCTAAAGGATCCACAGGAGGTGGGGAAAAAGCCACCCTCCTGAGACACTGCTGTCTGAGAGCAGCTGGGATACAGCTCCTCACAGACTGCAGGCTGCAGTACCAAGAGACAGATTTAACTTCCTGCACAGAATGAAAATATAAACCTTGGCACTTTTCACACTGACTGCAAGGCAAACAAGTTTTGTTTCCTGTGATGTTCTACTTTGTGGCATTTTTCATTCTTATGGAATTGGAGCAATATAAAAAGTATCTATGAGATGATCTTCCCTCCCATAGACTCTTCCCAGGGGTAAAAGCATGTGCAGGGGAGTATTTTATTTTAGTAGGCTTTTTATTTGAGCTGGCTCTCTTCTTCTGGGTAATAAATACAGATGATGCTCTCACCTTATTCCCCCTAATATAAAAACAAAGGTGTGTGCTCAGCATCCGGAATGAGAATGGCAACGTGAATGGCTGCAACTCAGCAGAAGCACAGAGGGATGAGGACTGTCAGGTCACTCTTTTCTAAGTTTCCTAGTGTCCCCAATACCCCATGGCAGAAGAAATCCTCAGATTATTGCATAGCGGGGTGGAATGTAATTACTCAGCCCCACCTTAGAAGACAGGACAGGCACAGTTGACTGTCTTGTACAAATTCCACCCACCTTATGTACATTTATCCACAGCATTTTCTTCCACATTAAGGGAAAAAAAAAAGTTTCCTTACCCGTGTATCTAGATTATAAGCTGTTTTCTTTAAATCCTGCAGAGCCCTCTGCATGAACTCAAATGCGTGGCAATCAACACAGGGGCGACCTAGGAGGGCATTTAGTAGAAGATTTAGTAGAAAATTATGACAATATGGCATGAAGTATTAAGTAGAAGGAATAAACAGTGATTCTGAGTATGAGGAACAGCTACAGAAAAGACCTCCCAGAGTGAGTACTGAGGTATGTACTCTTGAACAAGCCAAGTGATTGTAAAACAGGAGAGGGAGCTTTGGATTGCAGGTTACTCGGGTAGAGAGCATGTGTTTCTGTACCTTATATAATCCCTCAGATTTAGGTCTGATTTTACCTAAGGGTGTGGACTCTGCAGGGAGAAAGTGTTCTGAATATAAACAAAAGTGTAAAGTGGCTCAATTGTGGAAAAATTCATCAAAGCTTTTGGTGAGACATAGCTCAATATTTCACCCTTAACTCTGCTTTTTGCTGTCAGTTGCTTTTGAAAATGTATAATCCACAAGATTACAAAAAGTGTAGTAGCAACCATCGTGATGACCATAGAAACCACGGAGACCCAGTCTCTCAATGACAAAAGAATTACTTCAACAAATTTGCATTTAAAATCTTCCTCCTTTATTGGTGTGCCCCTTGTTCTTCTCTTGTGACAGTTGAACGTGTGAAAACACCAAACCCCTAGCCTGATCCCTTCATTTTGCTCCATCAACTCCAAGTATATTTTCAACATCCTCTTCAGATTTTTCAGAAACTATCTCTGAAACCATGAACAAGTTCCTTGGAAAACTGTGTCTCCTAATCTCACAAACTTGAGCTCTAAATAGAAAGGTAATGGAATAAAATTGACTACAATATCACAGAATTAGATCACTTAGCCTCTGATTTTGACTATGATGCAGCTTTGTCCAAAGATAGTGAAGCAAGCAGCAGATAAACAGAATGCCTTGTCATTAGTGGGCATTGCTGATAAGCAGAACTGCTGCATTCTGGACTAATTGCAGTGTTTAAGACAGTATTTCTGTACCTGGATATCCAGACTGAAGGTCACAAGGCTTGCTTTGCCTTGATCATCACATAACACAAAGCTGTGCCCTAACAGAGAGCAGTAATGAGACAGAATAGATATAGACAAGAGGTGTCTTCAAATCATCGGCCTCTACGTACGCTCTTATTTGCTTCACGGTACCTGTGCCTCTCTGACAACTCCATAGGAAATATTGCACAAGTGAGAACATCCAAGTGCAGGTTTAGTTTGCTCTTAAGGAAGAAAGGATAAAATTTACAGTGCTGTAGGAAAATCCTGCAGTGTCTGTCAGCCTATTTTGTAAGCACTTCATATTTGACTGATTACTACATGCCTCTGATAAATTGGAGTATGAGCTTCCAGCTCATGATCTGTGTGCTAGCCAGTAGACAGGAATCCTGTCTGCTGGAGAAAAGGAGTCTGCCAAATTGTTCTACTGGCTAAGAATTAAAAAAACCCCAAACACCACAAGAACACATTGAGCAGTATTCAACCTCTCTGTTGCACCACCACCCAACCTTAGTGTTATATGTGCACCAGGCAAAAGGAGAGGACAGCATCTTCCACATCAACAACTTGATGGAAGGACCTGTCATTATGTTTATGGCAAAATAAACTCAACACCAACCAGCAAAGAATTAGGTGGTTGAAGGTTACAAGACTAGGTGTTCACAAAGTGTGCTTTCCTGGCATTGTCATTGTGAATTTTTAAAATAAAAACTACTGACATTAATACAGTAGATCTCTAAGAATTAAAGACATAGCCATCAGTTAGTTCAAAAAAGCAAGTGTCATTAATGTCTCTGAAAAGCAAACAGTGTAATTCTTGGCACAGAAAGGGCTAGCCAATGACAGGGTTGTACAAAGGGAAAGGTGCAGAACAGTGGCAGATTTCAGGTATAACCAAGAGAGTAACAGGCAGGAGACAAGAGTAAGAGAGGGGAGAACCTTGGATGCAGCAGGAAAACAGCAGTGGTATGCTATCAAGTGTGGTTTTAAAACAATGTAAGACACATCCAAAATAGTTTGAATTATTTGGACAAGTTTCAGTGATGTGAAGTCCTGCAACATTAAAACTCCACTACAAGCTGTAGGAGAACTGTGTAGGGTCGTACGTACTTTCAGCTGGTATGGCTGTTCCTGCTTCCTGATCAGATCTGACAGGCTTTGAGAGCAGTAGTGCAACCACAAAAACTAAAGGAAATATAAGAACCGTTCTTCTCAGAGGGCAGGGTGCCAGCATCTTGGGAACAGGTGCTTCTCTGTTGGTCAAGAGACATAAACAAGTTAGTGAGGAACATTACGGGTACATGGGTTTTTTTAAAAAGAACTTATTGCTCCTGATGGCTAAAGCATTGGCAGTCCTTCCTCTGAAAGAAAAAAATATATCAGAAGACATAAAAGCATCAACAAAAGTTCTCTGGACTTTACCAGCAGTGCACATAAAACCTAACTGGGAGAAAATGTCTCTAGACATGAAGGAGAAGATCAGAAGTCCCTAGAAATTTTTGGTTTCATTTGCAAGCCAGGATGCCAGCAACTTTGTCTACTCTGTGACTCCAATCTTTCTTCTAACAACATGGTCCCAGACTAGCACGTGAATCTGGACATCTGGTTCACTTTTAGACTCAGAGATCAAACTGCAGGGATTATAGGGCTGGCTGAAATAGACGTGAAACTGGAAATTAGGTTTTTACCTTCTGGCTCCCTTTACTGAAGCACCAGCTTTTCCCAAGCATAATAAGTGAAGGTAACCAATATCATTAACTACATACCAAATAGATCACAAAAACTTACTCCTTTATGAAAGTAGGTGAAGGAAAAGACTTTTGTTAAAGCTCCACAAATTCATAGGTAAAACTTCTAATGGTAAATGGATCAAAACTCTTTGACCTTCTGTTTTCCCTTCCTAATCTGGGCTTCTGATTTTTATTTGCAGCCATCCATTTGTTCCTGAACATCACAGGCAGGCCACACCATGCCCCTAAGATAGGTGCAGTCTGGTCCGGCAACAACTCCCCTTCACACAAAGGTAAAATTTTTATTAGTACACAGGTTTCAAATTAAGTATTTGCTTGATCAAAACAGGCAAACTGTTCAAATTAAGAGGGAACATGGGACACTTGGACTGGCTCAAACTGCAACTGTCTATTACAGATTTGAGTCCAAGCCTCAAGGATCCCGGCAAACTGTTAAGGCAGTTCTTGGTTCAGCCAAGTCTACCTTCCTTTCCTGTACATTCAAATGGAAGAAAAAAACTCAAATAAAGTTAAATTGTAGCAATGTAATAAAATCTACATGAAAAATCTCTTTAGCTAAACCCAGGAAAGCAGGACAACATACTGACTCTTGCTGATTTTTAAGTTTGTGCATAATAAGCAAAAGATGTTGCACAAGAACCTAAAATCTGCATGTACTGAAAAAGCAAGAGTACAGCACTCCCCAAAACAGCTTGTATTTCACATTTGGAAGGGCAATAGAGGGAAGCTGGAAAGAAAATGTTTTCCCCCATTTTGCCAGAAATGCAGAACAGAACAAGCTTGCTCTTTGATTTATGCAATCCACCTTTCAGACACAGCTAATCTGAAGCTGCAAATTCTGCATGAACGCTTGCAGCACGTGCAAACCAACAACTCATCCAGGAAAGAAGCAGCATTATACAGATCCTCCCTGTGCACCTAAACCTAAGAGTAGGGGGTGGTTCAGAAGCATGAGACATACATGTACATGGAGAATCAGATCTATTTGTGATTGCACACCACCACCACCACCCCCAAAAAAAAAATCTAGTAATATAATTCCTATAACCTCAGAACTGGGTTTCCTATCTCCCCCACTATTTATAAGTGATCCTTTTATTTCTACAGTCCTTAAAATAAAGGGATTACAATCCTAACAAGCAGCTTGGATTTTCTGTTTTAATTACTGCTGATCCACAATCAAAGCAAGTACAATCAAAGGCACCAGGCTTTGCAACAGGACACAGAATAGTGTCTCCAGATAACAGTAAAATAGGATAATACCAGCCTCCTCCTGGTCAGCAGGAGCAGAGGCTATTCACAGTTGGCAGAGTTCTACAAAGGTTCAACAAAACAAAGCAGGTATAGTGTTAAACTTTTTCAGGGTACAGTATACATCATCCACCCCAGTGTCAGCTCAGCTTCATGCCCAAGCTCTGCTGCAAAACAATTGCTCCCAGAGTGCAGCAATCACCTTAGAGCACATCTAACTACTGCCTCTTAGTCTGTGGGAATTGGCTGTCCGTGAGGAATAACCATGACAGGTTTCAAGGGTGGCCCCTCTCTGCAGTGCAACTGGGAACAGAGACAGATCTGTGCATGGACTTCTGAGAACGAGAAAAGTCACCCCCTCCAACAAAGGAAAAAAATATCAGTACCTGATCTCTCTCTCGTCTTTGTGATGGTCTCTTTGAAATGGCCGCTGCAAGCTGCTAACGGAACAAGTGCAGCGTTTCTGAGCATGTGCACTGTCTCTTTTTAACCTTCTCTGAAAGAGGTTATTACTATGGGGAGATTTCTGCCATGGCAACAATGCAGAGCACTGCAGCACACAGCACAGATTTAAAGAGGAACAGGCTGTGTCTCCCAAGTCAGGAGACGGATGTCTCTGCTCTGACATGTGAGTTCCAGCAGCATCTTACCTGCTCTGGGTAAGGCTTTTAAAGCCAGGCCACTTGATTCATCTCTCTTGAAGTCTGTTAAATAATTTCCCCGAAGTCTTCATAGCTGGATGCAGTGCTCGACTCAAGCAACTTGCTTCCCTAGCGCCTGAAAATAAGCACAACAAATTACACCTGGTTTATGGAAGACCAGGAAAAATCATGGGATTGCACCCAGGAACTGGAGGACACATTGCAGGTGAGACTTCAGTGAAGCCCAGGACTTGCTCAGCCCACAGCCTGCTGCTGGAATGGTTTGGAGTTACAGGGGTCACAGCCACCCATACCTGCTCTCCTGGGTGTCTGTGTCCCATTCTCGGGGCTGCCAGGAAAAGCTGCAGGAGTGCAGACATTTAAATGCTGAGTGGGAACTGGAGTGTGAACTCAGAGTAAACTTCACTCCCCTTTTCTAGCCTGTACCACTGTTCCCTTTTCAACGCCCCATGAGCTACACCCCAGGACAACACTGAAGGCACTTGAGCTGAATGCAACAACGACGAAGAGCAGGTGACAAAAGTGCTACTATCAAAGCAAAGCTATGTTCAGGGGTCACATCTCCCCCCAGACACATTCCCCACCACAAACCAGACACCAGCAGTTCCTGTTCCAGAAAGGAGCACAGCTGAGGGCAAGCACAGCACTGAGAATCATGCAGAGAACTTCAAAGGGACCATGCTCTGTTTGCTTTAGTTGGTTCAACAGGGACTCAATCTTAAATGCTTTCATGGTGAAATTTGAGGGCATTCAATGTCCAGGAAGGTCAGGCACACAACTTTTTGTCTTGTTTTCCCATGAGCGGAAACTCCTCAGATTTATGAGTAAATTGCTGGACAACATTTTTCTTTTCAATATGCTCTATAACCTCTGTCTTCTGTACAGTCCTATGGGAATGGTTTGTTTCCATTAATTCAATTTTTAAGTGAGATGCAAAAATTTCAGGTTGTTCAGTGTGTAACAATGCTGCTATATGAAGCTACAGCACCCACAACAGAATCAAGAGGGGATTAATTATAGTACTGTCATCCTCCTACAGCACAAAAACAGAAAGAAGGGGAAAAGAAATTTTAGAGACTGTTCTTCTGGGCAAACAAGATTGAGCATTTCTTGCAGAGATAACTATACAGGATTTGGTATGCCTATACACAAATTACAAATACAGAACTTTTTTCATGAACATTCTTAGCCATCTATTCTCACACCTTGGGTTCTTTTCCTGATTAGCAATACAGATATTCACACCTATCCACACAGAGACACGTGTATACATGCCTTTTCTTAACTTGTGCTCTTGATCACTCCCAGTAAATCTTACCCTGTTCTCCCAAATCCTGCCCTTCCTCTGTCACAAGAGTAACACCCAGCAGCCAGCCCTGGTAACTTGGGTGTTATCATCAATTCATTTTTCTAGACCCACACAATGTGCTTCTGACTCCATTAAATACAATTTTAAAAGTCTATTGCTGCTGTTCTCAGCTGCCAAATTCCTTGCTCTAAAGCATCTTGTGCCTGTAACCTCTCTTCTTTAGCCTTGTCCTAAATCTATTTGTCCTACAAGGAACAACTCCCTTTTTAGCGTTTTAACCACATTTCCTCCCTATTCACTTCACTCTGTGCTGTGTTAAGCACCAACTTTTCTCTTCACTGAAGCTAGTATTTTCTCAGCTGGAAAATATCAGTTCACCAAGGAGGATATCATCTACAGAGGAGGTAGAGACCCCACTTTAGGATAGTTTTACTTGAAAAGTGTTTTGAAAAACTATTTTGACAACTTTCAAATTGATAATTTCTGGCTTTCTACTTCAAAATTATTTCCTTTTTAAACCTAAGCTTAACAGAGTAAAAATACATTTCATGCTCAGTTCATGGAATTGCAGCGCAGGAGCAGCTCTCATGTTAATGTATTGGGCCATACTTCCATCAGAACATTACAACCCCAATATAATCTTTCCTTCTCTCCCACATGCACAAAGCCAGCCCAAGGGCACCCTAAAACTGGAAGCAGAGACCAGAAGTGTATGCACTATCCATAGCACCTGCACAACAGCCCTCAGTGGCAATTTCACTGGTGGTCGTGTGGCACCTCAGGCTGAGCATTATAAGTGACATTTGAGTGAAAGATGGAATGTCCCAACTCCCCAGCTGCCCTGAGGGATCATTCATGAGGTAAGCAGAGAGAATTTAGAATTTCTTTTTCTAATGAAGTTGGACACAATGGGTTTTTTTTGTGAGATCCCCACCATCTGAAAAAGCATCAAAGCATTGTTTGAGATTTCAATTTTTCATTTTGATAGCACTTATCTTTATACTATAAATATTCCTGTGGGATTGAGAAAAAAGCCTAGCCTTTACCTCTAAACCTCTTCACTGCTTGGTCTCTCCTTGGTTCTTAAATCTAATACTCTGTCACAGCAGAAAACTTTCTTTCCTCACTAAAAATAACAGATTCTGTCACTCCTGCAGACACTTTTATGCTTTCTCACAGCCTGCCCTCTAAATCACAGTGAAAATCTCCCCACAAGGTGCCATCTTGTCTTCCATCAAATCCTCTTTTAAGCTTTACTTCTGCCACGAATCCTACAAAGCACTGCTGCCTGGCAGAGCCTGGGGAGGGAGCTGGCTGTGACTGCTGGTGGCATGCAAATGTGCTCATTATACCAATATCTCACTGCCTCACACCTCTCCCTGAGCCCCCCCCTCGTCATCCCACCCTAATCCTGGGCTGTGACAGCTCAAGGGCAGGAACTGTGTGCACTTGTTGGAGCAGCACCACAAGGCTGGAGTGTTGATTGAGGCCTTCAGCCAGATGTGATGAATAATAATGTCAGACTACCTAAAGCTGATCCTGTTGTCCCACACTCTGATATATGAGCTATTCATAGAGCAAGCCTCTTATTCTTCGCCTTCCAATTTAAAGCTCTTGGGAAGTGTCAGAGTGACCAGATTAAGAAATGAAGCCTTCCTTTGTTCCCTGAACAGGTCTTGTGTATCTTGGTAGACGCAAATAATTGCAACTGTTCCTCCTTCCATTTTCCTCACAAGTGATTTTAGAAATCATTTCCTTGTTAGTAACTCCAGCTCCTGCAGTCCCTACATGACAGAGGATGGCTCACCTGAAAACATTCTAGGCCCCCAAAGTCTTGAGTTTCAGTGCAACACTAAGGCTGGGCTCATGTCCAAGTCTGACTTTTCCACACAGCTCTTTGGGAGACCTGCACTGTCAGAACTGCTTACTGCTTTTTGGATGAGATGCTAAACTGAGGCCAAATCTTTCAGCATCCCTCTGGGAGTTAAGAAGCATTTAAAAAGCCCATGTCAATATTCAGGAAGGGTTAGCATTAGCTGAGCTATCCTTGGCTTGCACTGTCCCTATTCACCCTCCTCCACACATATCTTTGGGGAAAAAAGCTTTGTTCCAAGCTGTGCTTGAGCTATTTCTAGGCACATAATAGTTGCAAGTTTAACCAGTTTGCTAAGTCCACAGGGATGTCTTGAGCACTTTGCAGCAACTGTACAAACATGCACACATATGAATGGGCTTTGAACTGGAGAGGAACAAACTGCTGTCTTCTCAAGCTTCACATTCTAGAACCAAACTTCAGAGTTCAGGGGCTTCTTCTAACATGGGTGGCCTGGAAAAGTAAAGAGAAGTTCTCTCAGCTGAGCAGCAGTGCACCATCAGCCAGTTTCCTTGTAAAGGCTCCCCTGAAAAATGGCAACTGAGGAAACTAAAGAAAATAAGATTGTTAAAATTTAAAACTTATTGACTGTTTTTCTCCCAGTGATGTTTATTATCGAACATCCGCATAAGGACTCTCAAACTTCAGAATCCAGAAGAGCCATAAACAGGGGGCTCCAGATCCAGTCAATGCTCTAGGAATCAACCACTTTGCAATCAGTTACCTACACCTTATCCAGGATGACTTTTATGACAGCAATACTTGGATCTTGTTGATGATAAATAATTCTAACATTAATATCTCTCATTTAATGGCTTAAAGGTAGGTGTACCTTCATACATCTATGCTTGAAAACAGTAATTTTCACCTGAGTTTATAAGAGATTTGCAAGCTGACAGAAAGGGCTTCTCCTTTTTACAATTTTTTTTCTCCTTTCTACAATGTCAGTGCTATAGGTTGCAGGCTGGTTAGTGTAGTACTCTTCTGATGTTGCACTAATTGTGACTGCAAAGTTTCCAACTAAGAGCTTACTCATATCTGCCTTCAAAATGTCTTGTGAGTGAATACTTCATTTGTGATCCAGGGATGTTTTTAGACACTAGCCAGTGACAAATGAGCAATTAATATTCCTTACACATCATTATAGTTGTCACAATGTTGACTGAGATGCTGGAATAGAGAGCAGAACCACCACTGCTAAAAGCATGGCTAATTACAGCGTAACTCAAGAATTAGTGATCAGATCTGGGGCAGACTCCCATCCTCAGAAGGTTAAGTCTTGATCCAGGCAGAGATCAATTTCTAACACACACTCATTAACAGATTACACTCCCCAAGTCCTCAAGCTCACCAGGCTATCATTCTAGAAGGGAAACAGTGATCACCAGGCAGAATGGATTACTCATTCCTTGGCAAAGAACACATAATTCTACAACCTTCAAACCAACAGTTTAGGTTCTCCTTTTGAAGTAGAAATTATTAATAATCCTGCATTAGTTTTCTTAATTCCTAAGTTACTATGAGTAGTAGCAACTACTGTCAATCCACATTAGCCTCCCCAGTGCCAAATGTGCTGTCCAAATGCACTGCAGGGCACTTCCCACACTGGAGACAA